CCTCTGAGGGACCGAGCAGAACAGCCGAGCCAAATGCCGCTCGGCGGCATTCGGCTATTCTCTCACTGCTGTTCGGGATCTTTCAGAATAGCCCGAACAGCAGTGTGAAGCCTGCCGGAGGTTCGGCTCAGCCGATCCAGATGTTGGATCGGCTGAGTCGAACTCCTTCTGCACTTCGGGTCAGCCGAACATGCTGAGCATGTTCGGCTGATCCGAAGCCACACGAAGCAAGCCGATGTACGGCTGATTTCAGCCGATATACGGCTGAAATCAGCCGTACCAGCCTGAAGTGAATAGCCGAACGGTGTTCGGCTCACTTCACTTCTGATCGGTCATTCACTCGGCTGCCCTCGGCAGCTTTGTGAATAGACCCCTATAATAGATGTAAATAAGTGGCAAAACTAATCAAAGGTTTCCTTTTTTTGCAAAATTATAATTTTTTTTTTTTTTTTCTAATATGCATTTTTGTTAGAGTAAGTAACTATCAGTTCAGGTTTCCTTCTGCTCCTTTTCACACTATAGCATTGTGGTAACACAAGACACAATAACACATTACACACAGTGCAGTACATTCATTTTGATTGGTACACCAATGAACTAAGGCAGTGTAGCACAATGCACTTGTGTTGCTGTGCACCACCACACACAGATGTGCACTATCCACGCATTGTGGTGTGCACTGCAGTTCTAAACAAAAACAAATGCATGGCCATTTTTCCAATCCAAAGGAAAGAAGCCTTTGGCATGTCATAATATCCAAGGGAAGCTTCACTTATGTTGGATATTAGGGTGTGCCATCAACTTCTTTCCTTTAGATTTACAGACAATTTTGGGAAAGAAGTGCACCCTGTTTGGTTTCGGCACCCAAGCAATTGAGAAAGTGATCTAACACGTAGGACTTGGGACAATTTCCTGACCTATGCAAATTCCTGTAAGATGAACTGCCAGCCCATTCAGAATGCAAGGTATAGTGTTGCATTAAGGCACAGGCATTAACATTGTGCATAGTGTGAATGGGTTTCCTAAACCCCCCGGACAGTTTCTTCTATCTCTCAGTGATTCTGTTGGTGAGATCTTGGAGGTGGGTTCCCGGGTCTCCACACCTCCTGTGCCCATTATAATTGGTTCCCACTATCCTTGCTGGATTTTTAATACATTTTTGTTTTATATTATGAAGACTGTAACAGGCGCAGCTGGAACACACAAAGGTGGGTGGGGACAACCAAAACTCCCAGATGAACAGGAACAGGAATTATGATGGGAGATCTTGGCCTTGGCATACCCAAGAAGCCAGGGGCAAACTCAACCCGACCAATCTCCAACCATAACCAAGACAAGCAATTTGGCCCTGTAACATTGCAATTGAAATGACTTAGTAAAATACGTGTTAACATTAAATATCTAAACTGCATCCAACCATATCACATCTGGAAATGATTCTGTGTATATAAGGTAATGCGCGTGTGCCCCCCCAGAGCCCAGATAATAAGGGAGATCAGTACAGCGAACAATAAAATGGACCCCCCTCCCTCCAGCTCGGGAGAGGTCTGCGTTTTGTACGCCTGACGATTTGTCATGTTCAGTAAAACCTCTTGTCTTTACAACAGCGATTTGGAGCTATAATAAATCTTTTCTCCTGTCAGCAGAAAGATATTACATTTGTGTGGCTAAAGTACAGATAAAGGTCTGTTTGATGAATTTGACTTCTTTGGACCCCAGGAGGGATTCCAGGGAATTTTGTATAAATTTATGGTATATGAACCAGCACAGGGTTGAAAGGTTTTAGAACCCCTAGAGCTAGAGAGCTAGGCAAACATTTTATATTTATGATTCTCTAGTCTATAGTCATGATTCATATGCAGAACACTCAGTCATTTCCATCATTTACTATTTCACAGGGCGATGGAAGATAGTTACAAGCATGTAGCTATCTCCTAACAGAGAACCTTACTACTCTTCTAATTATCACCCAATCTACTCAGGAAACTATTGCATCTCTAGGGGCTAGTTCAGATTACCCAGATCCATTGCTCTCAGGTGGCCAGAATGTTGTTTTCCAGTTGATCAGTATTGTTCCTCCAGGAAATGACCAAGGCCAGAGGGCATTAGCTAAAGAACTTGTTACCTTAATTTAATATGGTTGCAAGGACTGGTTGCATGACTATTTCCAGCAGTATAGCAATATCCTGATGCTTGGCAGTGTGGAGCAGTAATTTTTCTGAAAATAGGAACAATAATAATATAGCCAATTAGAGATCAGAAGTGGGCAGCCAAGTTCAGTGAAACACAGATAGTGCTGACCATGAGCAGACAGAAATGAATTCCCAAGGCTTTATTTTTACAGCTGAAATTTTAAAAATGTAAATCGATAATGCACAAATACGGATATCCAACACTGCAATTGTATAGCTAGACAACATTTAAAGGGTGGTCAGTAAAGCTGAATAGCAATCTAACATAATAGTAATAAAGCTGACTAGTTCTGATAACTTGGAAAGTGCAGTCCACAATGAGACCCTTTTGACCCCCAGGTCTGCACAGAAAGAAATTAGTAAGTCTTGGTGGGGGACCCCCTTTAACTGTAAACACAAATGCAATACAATGGATTGCTGGAAAGATCCAAAGACAGGTTCTCTTGATTACTTGAATTTACTCCAACAAGTGAGAATATAATTTGTTGGTCCTGGCACACAGACAAAAGCAGTAGCCTTGCACCATATATCAGTTCAGCATCTTAGTGAGTGATCTGGAAGAATATTTCTAGGGCAACAGGCCTTTGGGGACACAGACACAATCTTGGCTTGGTGAATCATCCAGCAGCTCATAGTTCCCTAAAGTCACAAAGCCCAGAAGTTACATACAGTATGGTGGATGCACACAGTTGCAATGAAGGATTAATACAAGCTGAGCTGGTATCATTTAGTGAGTCCAGGAATGTTATCCGGTTAAGGTATAATATAACAGAAAATAGGGGGTGAGTCCATGTAGGGGATTTGTTAGTCCACATTTTCTCCCACCCTCTCAGTCTATGACATGGTGTAACATTTTGTGCAGCTAATTCCAGCAATGGCTGAGGATATGGAATTTCCTCTTCTCTTCTACAAAAGTAAAGTCTGAGTTGAGAGTGGAGAGTTCCTGGAAGTGCATTCCTCTCAATGCTGAGTATCTGGGGCACTGTAGCAGGAAGTGGGCCTCATACGCCAGGACCACTTGATCACACCGCTGGCACAGTTTACCCTTTTCCTTGGGCTTGCAAGTCTGCCTTTGCTGCCCTGATTCGATTTCCTGGCAATGGCACTCAATTTGTACAGGCTCAGGGTCTTTCTGTCTGTCTTTGGGGTCTTGTATCAACTCCAGGTATGGGACCAGTTTGTAGTCTCTCTGTAGTGACTGGGAAGTAGTTAGTTTCTGGGGGTTTGTTATTTAATTTTCCCATTGTCCTTTATTTGAGATTTTGTCAGCCCACATTGTTGGCAGTTATGGATGGACAATGTGCTTGTCCTTGTTGATCAGTAAAGCTTTATGGTAGTATGAGTTGGAGCTGCTATTGTGCAAGTGGTCCCAGTATGATAGTATATACAAGTGTCCTCTTCTGTACTGCAAGCAGTAAAGGTAATCTACTCAGCTCAGCCCAGCAAGCATTGTTGGAGGTGCTGATGGACTTTACAAGGGGCTTGAAGAATTCCAGATGGAATATTTATATTGGGCTAGAATCCCATTACGGTTGGTCTGGGTAGGTGACAGGACTCCATACTTTGCTGCCATAAGGGAGGATTGGTGCGATGACTGTCAAAAAATTTAAGCCAAACTCTTATGTTCTTGTCATGCTGAGCTAGTCCAGGTGCTGAGGAAGATACCAGAGCTGCAGCCAGTTTATTGATGTATATGTTAGAGAGAGTTGGACTTAGGCTGCAGCCCTGTCAAACTCCACAGCCCTGCTGTACTCTTTTCCTATTCTCCTTTACGTTGCAGCCATTCTCAGTATATGGCCTCTTGATGACATTGTAAAGGTGCAGGGAGCCTTTGCTTTTCCACTTTTAAAGTACAAGTCCAGCTACAACCTTTGTTTTTATTTTTAAAAAGAGTTGGGAAGCATTAGAACATCTGTCAGGTTCGTATTGCTGTCTGTGTCCCACTTGGAGATTTCTCTTCACTTCCTGTTCTGCAGCCACCATAGAAAATAAAAATCTCCTCAGTGTGATGGGAAACCACACAAGAACAGGTCAAGTGACAAGAACACCTCAAATACATCAGGTCAAGTGAGGATAGAACACCTCAAAGACATTCTGGGTTATCTGTGTATTACATTTCTCAAATAAAGTAGTGAATAGTGCGGGGGCTGTATTTTATTTTAAATGTTTTTTTGTAAATTGCTTAGTGGTAAGCTAAGTCTATCTGCCAGCACACTGGAGAACAGGGAGGTGCACCCAGGTTGTCTCCCTTGATAATTTGCTGATTACCCTCAAGTTTCCATATCACCTCCTTGGAAAGGCCCAGTGCTTAACAAATGGCCCCATATCTCCAGGATCTCTTCCTTGAAGTACCCACCTAGTACAAAAGTGCATGCAGCTGGTATCAGCATGACAAAGTGCCCATTCTTAGATCCTTAGGGATCTTTATAGTTGATACATTTCCAAACATAAATACATCATTACAAAAACTGGGAAAAAGAACAATACGAAAATGACAACTAAATAAAGAAACATAAATGCAACCAGTGGTGTGCCTAGGTGTATTTATAGTATTATAGTCTTTGTACTTTGAATATGTTTAAAGTAGAAGAATATCCAAGCAAATAAAATTAGAAATGGTAAAATGGCAACCAACCTATAGAGCCTTGGTTCTCAACTGGTAGGTCGTGACCCAAAAGTGGGTCACCACCCTGTGTTCAGTGGTTTGCCGCATGCCTTCCACTTTTCTAGGTGAGAGGCTCCTCTGCCTTCCCCTAGCGCAGCACTGTCAGTTCTCGCGCCGAGCAGCCATTCAAAATATGCTGCCCAGCAGAGTGTCAGCTTTAGGTGGGGCAGGCTTCGGCTATGGCCGCGAGGGAGCTCCATCCATTAATGCGTTGCTTACAGCTCCCTCACGCACACTGTAGAGGTGCCTGGACCGGAGTTATGTCACATTCTGGTTCCCGGATCCTTAACAGGGCACGCAGGGAGCTGTACAAGCAATGCACATATGGATGGAGCTCTGTCACAGCACAGCAGCCCACACTGGACCCCAGACTGAGGATCCACTCCAGTTCTAGTAGGGCCTGTTCACACTAGTACAGTGCATCAAACTGTACCACACTATCGCACCTACTGTGCATTCTGATGTGGGAGGTGTGTTGCGTTGCCATTCATTTGAATTGTACCCCAAATGCACCTCCCACCCACAGCTCGTACGGCTGCAATAGAACATGCGGTACCCAAATGCCATGCATTAAATTTCAGTGCGACCTGGGTCGCGTCTTGATGGCCAAGGACAAATGTGGGTCCTGAAGTTACACAGGTTGAGAACCACTGCTATAGAGGACAAGTATGTCCTTGAAGAATTTGGCAATTCCATGTGTTATTTTTTTTCCCCTCTACATTTCTGTAACAACTGTCAGAAAAAGTAAAATAAAAAGCAGCAGATGAGTGGCTTAGTGATGGATCAGGTTATATTCTTAAATTTCCTCTGCCTGCAATTAGGCCTTTTTTCTGGTTGAATATTAAACTCATGAGTCTTGGAAGCTCTAACAGTGAGATCTCTGTGCTATAAGGTGTTCCTGCCCACCTTTGTTCCACTTTGTGTTCCAGCTCCTTCTGTTACATTCTCTATAGAGTACGGTAAACCAAATAATAAATCCAGCATGGCTATTTAGTTCCCCTTATAATAGGCACATCAAGTGTGCAGACCCAGGAACTGAAAAAAATCTCTCCAATAGAGTCCCTGAAAGTTGTAAGAAACTATCAGAAGGTTTGATCCTTTAGCATTCAGTTTTAGGTGGACTGATCCTTCAATATGCTTTTTACGCAAAATGGACAAAAACACACAAAACTGCATCAGTACACTTTAGTACACTTTGTGGGAAAACAACTTGTACATAGACCCATGAAGTCATTATCCATAGTCATTGCACGATTCAACATTACATTTAATTCAGTAGCCTGCACAGCTATGGCATAAAATGTGACACAACTTAATGAGCCATATAAATCTATTCTTATCTTCCTGACAATGTTTTATCTTATCTCCATACAGGTGGAATTGACTGGTAATAGCATATATGAGTATATCCATCCTTCAGATCACGATGAGATGACAGCAGTTCTCACAGCTCATCAACCCATCCACCCACACTTATTGCAAGGTAATTTATCAATGCACGTGTCTTATGTATTGGAAGCACTGGTCCAGTACAGATACCAGTACCATTCCATACCATTACAGAACAGAAATACGGATGAGCTCAAGTTCAGACTGCACCTGGTCCGAAACCTATGCTCCTCTGAAACCAGAAGCTCCATGGGGCCACCCATCCACAGCTGCATATTAACACAGGGGTGGGATGCTTGTGCTGACATCAATTACCTTATATAGCCCCATGGCCATATTAGGTCAACGCAATTGGGCGGTAGTGGAAGGAGCTTCCTTCTGTGTTTGGAGGAGCTCAGGTTTGGTCCAAATTTAGATATGTAGGCGGCTAATATTATTGAAAAATCTTGTTTTTTCCAAAAAAAGTTAAGCTTGGTTGTTTGCCGTCTGCCTCCTGAGCCCCTCTGTTTGTCTTTTATTGTTATGGGCTGTCCTATTAACCAACAGGGTGTCTTGGGGGGATGGGGTGGGGCGCAAGCTAGACGTTCACAGTCTGAATGAATGGCCCATGTTTGTGACAGGTTTACCTTAAAAAAAAGGAGGGTGCCATTGATGATCTCACCTTCTGAAAATTTGGGCCACTTCGCTGTCATGTCTTTCTTCAATATCGGTTTATTTCAAGATCTGATAAGCCTAAAACACTAGTTGGCTCATATTGAATGGAACATCTAGTCTTTTTGAATGCGATCATCTTACTTAAAATGATCTTATCTACACTTGCTTTAAAAACAAGTTATTGACATTAAACAAGCCAAGTCTCACAATTTACAAAGTAGAATTATTTTTCTTATTTTGTTCACCTTTTCTGACCACCTCTGGTCATCTGTGGTTTGGGTGACCATCTGAACAGGAGTTCTTGCTAATGTTATTATTAGGAAAAATGCTAAAGGGCTTAGGGCCCGTTCACACCAGATGCAGTGCGTTCCGGCCCGATTTTGGCCAGAACGCACTGCCTCGCGTTGCGGTCGGCTCACTTTTTTGTGGGGCAGGAGAGGGCGTGTCGGGCCATTGAAGTGAATGGCACTGTAGCCACGCTACAGCCTCCGGCTTCAATGCGATCAGCTGCACGGGATCACAAGGCACATTATGCTTGCGGTCCGGTCAAAATGCTGCAAGCACTATTTTGATCGGACCAGACAGGACCACAGGCATAATGTGCATTGCAATCCCCTGCGGCCAAACGCATTGCGGCCGGAGGGCGTGGCTGTGGTGCTATTAATTTCAATTTCAAATTTTTAATGCCCCCTCCTGCCCCACAAAAAAGTGGGCCGGCCGCAATGCGAGGCAGTGCGTTCTGGCCAGAATCGGGCCAGAAGGCACTGCATCTGGTGTGAACGGGCCCTTAGAGCAGCGGTGGCCAATTTCTTGATTAAGGGGCTGCAGGAGCACCCTCTGACATCACCAAAAGGCCGTTCATTAAATTCAGCGAATGTAATGCAACAGAAAGTTGTCAGAGACTGTTGACATGCAACAGGAGAGGTTCAGAGACTGCAGACAAAATACAGGAGATGGTCAGAGACTGCAGACATACTATAAGAGCTGGTCGTAGACTGCACACATACTATAACAGCTGGTCAGAGACTGCAAACAAGCTACAAGATATTGTCAGAGACTCCAGGCATACTGTGCTACAAGAAATGGTTAGAGACTGTAGGCATACTGCAAGAAATGGCCACAGACTGCAGATATGCTGCAGGAGATGGTCAAGGACCATGCATGACCAAACATGCTATAGGAGGTCATTGTACCAGGATCAGGAACACTGCACACAAAGATGAGAAAATGTTAAATTTAAAATGTATTGTTTTTTTAAAAGGCTGTGTGTTGTCAGTCCATATTAGGAAATTAAGAGCTGAATGCATTTCTGGCAGATCAACAATTCTTTTTCTGTACTTGAAGGATCTTTAAGAACAGAAACACAGGGAGATGTAATGCATATGTTTTTTTTTATTCTTTATTTGCCTAGACAGTTTTCTTTCACAACCTTTTTATTGTTTTAACAGGTTTGTAGGAACAACATTGACTATACCCATGAACCGTTAGTGAGGGTACATATGGCCCGTAGCATGGGATGTTGAGGGACGGTACACTAGTTGGGTTATGGTGATCTTGAAATGGGGTTGTGTATTGGAGCCTAGTGACATTATCAGTAGCGATAGCCTATTGTCATTGCCAGTGTGGTTGGTCGTGCAAGGGCTTAGCTTTGCATTGGACTGCAACAATTGTGTATTTCCAGGGTGGGGTCAGAGGGGACCCAGGGATTGGGTTGAAGTGTTCAGGTCTGGTGATTATTGGAAGAGATAAAGGGGAAAAGTTGAAGGTAAGAGAAGGAGAGGCAAAGGGGGATTAGGTAGAAAAAAAAGAAGTGGGAAACCATAGAGGCGATAGGGTAAACTAGGATTGAAGAAGATAGAAGGTCGAGGGTGAAGCTTAGGTGGCTTCAAAGCTCTGGGGTCCAGCATATGAGATCCAGGGCTGCCAGAGTTTCAAGAACTTATTGTGGGAATCGTCCATTATTGCAGACACTTTTCCTGGACCATGCTTCATGTGATTCTACCTATGTGACCTCTACCTCACGTCATTAAAGCTAGGGGTTGGAGTTGTCTATGATCTTGCTATGGTTTGTTTAGTGGCTGCAAACACATAAGTAATCAAGATTTGGTTTTTTTTTGTGATCTTTTGGTGCCTTGACAGTTTTAAGCACAGTAACCCATAGCAACTAATCAGAATTACAAAATGGGTATTGACTGGTTGCTTTGGTTAATTGTAGTTACATATGAACACTTAAAGTGACATTAAACCCTCAGATTTTTTAACATAAACCAATACTGTAATGTGTGCCTTACTGTAATCCATGGTTGTTTCCCTTCTCTTTGCTGCTCTTCCTTTTAAATCCTCATGTCTTCTCATGCTTGGGGAGAACTGTAGTGCTGGCTCAGGTTACAAGCCTTTACAAACGTATACACAGACACCGTGTATCCACACGGTGGCAGTCTGTTGCAAAACAGAAGTTCTGCCCAGCATGAGAACAGATACAGATTTAAAAGGAAGAGCAGCAAAGAGAAGGGAAACTACCATGGATTACAGTAAGGCACACATTACAGTATTGTTTTATGTTAAAAAATCTGAGGGTTTAATGTCACTTTAAGAACATGAAATCTTTGTTGAATAAGGATGTTTATCCTTTAATTACCAAGCTCAGTAGGAGAGATAATAACTCCACAAATAGAGCAGATAACCTTTATAAATCATTGAAAAGGCTTTTTTAAATGGTGAAAAGGTATCTGATACTTTTGCTGTCAGCAAATCTAGTGAAGTCTGACTTCCACCTAATATTTCTCTCACCTCCATCTCAGGCCCAGGTGTCTGTAATCACTTCATTGTACGGATAGTGTAAAGTGAATGGGGATTCAAAGCCAGGAGCAGATTTAGGGAGGTTTTTATTATAACAGGCAAGTCCTGAGATATCACTCCTTGGGTAGCGCAATTGAAAGCAGCTGTTGGGATTTGAGGCAAATATGACAAATATTATTCCTGATCTCTACATCCTCTTCCAGTACAAAGCCTCCGATCATCCTCCTCAAGACAGACTTTGTAACCTTTGGCTCACTTTTTTTAATTGTGGTCCGCAAAAAGAACAAAACATCTTCTGGGCTGACCAGCTCCAGCACATCAGGCTTTGTGAGACTGACTGTCCATAGGTGTATAGCCAGTGCTCAATTGGCTCTGTAAATGGGAGGCAACAGAGACTAGATGCCAAGGCCCAGCAGACATAATTTATCCTTTACCCATCGGTCTGAGCGTAGCTCAAGAGGTCTCCTACCTCATTTATTTACTGGAACCCTTAGTCATGACTCTTCTCTGGCACCAGAAGCAGGGGCGTAACTAGAAATCACAGGGCCCCATAGCAAAATTTTGTATGGGGCCCCTTTGATGTCTAGTTGCACCCCTTGCAGAGCCCAATTGAGATCCCACACAGCCCACCTGAGAGTGACCATGCAGAGCCCACCATATAATCTTTATGGTGGGCTCCGCAGGGTTACCCTCAGGTGGGCTGGTCACATTCCTTACCTGTCCGCCTCCTCTTCCTCAACCGTCGGTGATGAGCCCCGCCTCCTCCGCCCATCGCCGGGCCCCCGCCTCCTCCGCCCATCGCCGGGCCCCCGCCTCCTCCTCTGATGCCAACCCCGGGCCCCGCCTCCTCCACTGCTGGGTCCAGCCTGCTCCACCGCTGCTGTTGGCTCTCACTGACTCCGCAGCGACTGTGAGGAGGAACGCGCCACTGCACAGATCACTGTCAGTGGTCTGAACAGTGGCACATTTCTCTTCACAGCCGCCAGTGACAGCCAGCAGCGTGAGATGCCATAGCGACCCAGGCAGCCCGCACGTCATCAGGCATGTCTTGGCCGGGCCCCCCTGTGCCCCGGGCCCCATAGCGGCCGAACAGGGTTTGGCTCACTTCAGGTCGGTCTTTCACTCGGCTGCTTAGTGAATAGACCCCAATGATGTTTCCCCTCACCAATTCTGCAGGGGTATAACTCTATTGGGTCTAGCTGCCACTCTCAATTCTTCCAAAGGCTAGACAAGTGCACCAGCAAAATATTTGTTTCGTTTTGATTTGGGTTTTGCGTTATTTCGTTTTTCGGGATCCGGGTCCGAAAGTCAATTCGTTTAGGGATTCAGATGCAGACTAAATTCGTTAGCGGTAGTCTGTACGAATGTTCGTTTCCATTTCATGTTCGTTTTGTTGCAACAGAGACATTAAAAAAATATATATATATTTTTTAAATGTCACTTTGCTGCAACGAAAATTTGTCCACAAACGAAAATACGTACAGACTACCGAATTTCATCCGAAATTTAGTTTTCGGAAATTCGGATTCGTTTTCATTCGTCATTTCTGTTATTCGGAAATTCAGATACATCTCCGAATAATGAAAATTCGTACAAAAAACTTTTTTCCAAAACAAATCGCACATGTCTACCAAAGGCTAG